GTGTATTCTCTATATTTCCTTTTGCCTGCATTCACATGTCCTTTGCTCTTTTGGTGTACACCCGTCCTCTCCTCTATTTCCCTTGTCCATTGTGTACATCTGTCCTCTTTTGCTCTATACACTAGTTTATTTCTATATTTATCTATTTTCCTTCTCTACACACGTATTTCTTTCCCCTTGTTCCCACGGGCATTTCGCACCCCTTGTTTGATATATTTCGAATATATTGATATTTCGCTCTCTTTGCGCACATCCATGTTTTGCTTTCCTTGTGAGTGCTTGATTTCCGCTATCTTGGTTTGTCAACCTGTCTTCCGGTCGTTTTTTACGCCCAACTTCTGTTTTTGTTTTTGTTTTTGTTCATTTTCCCCGTTGTTGTTCTTGTGGACACCTGTCGCTTTATGCACTTTTGTACGACTGCTGTTCACCTTTCGTCTGTACAGCTGTCTCCTCTTTTTCACATGTTCATTGCCCTTTGTTTTTGTTTTGTTTTTGTTGTTTTTTCTGTATACATTTTTGTTGCTGTTGTTGTTCTTATATACACTCATCCTGAACCCTTTGTCTAGCCTCTTTTGTACACATGTTTCCCCATTCTCTTTTATAAACTTGTCCCTTGCTTTCCTTCTGTAATTTCCATATGGGCATTTGCCCCTCATTCTCCTTGTTTATCTTTATCCTTCCTTATCCTGCTCAATTGTTTCTCCCCTCCCCCTCTGTCTGTCCGTACCTTATTCCTGCTTATTACACTTGTCCTTCCCTTTTTTCTGTACATTTGCCCTTGCCTTCTCTGCTATTTACCAGCATGTACACCTGCCCCTCGCTTTCCTTCAGTACATATGTCCTTCGCTCTGTTTGTACTCTTGTTCTACTCTTTCTCTTTATTTGTTATTGCCTTTTCTACTAATCCATCGTTATACTTTAATCGTGTTTTCCTTCTGCACACAAACTCTTTTTTTTCTCTTTATGTAAATTTGATCTTTTTTCCTTTTGTCTTTCTTACACTCCCCCTTCCGTTTCCATCTCCACACAAGTCCTATATTCTTATGTACATTTGTACGCCCCTTTCCTATAGTAAACATGCTCTTCGCTCTTTTTGTGTACTTTTGCGCTTCCCTTTCCTTCTGTACATTTGCCATTGCTCCCTCTTCTGTACGCCTGTCTCTCCCGTTCCTTCTATACCTCTGCCCCCCCCCCCCGCTTTCTTCTATACATAAGTCCTTCGTTTTACCTTATATGACTTGAGCTTACCTTTCTTTCTGTGTTTTTGCTTCCACAGGCCTCTCTCTCCCATTCTCTCTCTACACTTGCCCTCTCGTTCTCCTTCAGTATGCTAGTCCTTTGTTCTTTGCTCTTTGTACGTAGTCTTACAGCTGTTCTTCGCTCTCTTTACGTAGAACTTCCGCTGTTTTTTTTCTCTCTCTCTTTATACAGGCCTAAAGCTGTTCTTTGCTCTCTGTACGTAGGACTACAGCTATTCTTTGCTCTCCTTGCACAGGGTCGCGGCGGATGGCAAGACCCCCGGCACTTGGACTCCGCGTGGGTGGCCGTGAAGCTTCGAGACTTGAACGACAACCCTCCTACGTTCTCACGTTCACACTCCCACGTCACGGTGAAGGAGGATACACAGCCAGGCACTCTCCTCACCACCCTCAGCGCCCATGATCCGGACATGGTGAGTATTTGCGGCAAATGGGGAGTAATTTAAATCGTCTCTGGTGTGTATCTGGTGACTGAGTTTTTCTTAGGCGTTTTTTTCGATGTGTCGGGTGTAAGATGATGGTCGTACTTGTCAAGTTCGTTCCTTCTTTCTCCTTCTGTCTATCTAGCTCTTTATATGTCTCCTCTCTCTTTCTCTGTCCATTCTTTCTATCTATCTATATCTACCTCTGTCTATCACTCTACTTCCTCTGCCTTCGCATAATCTTGTGGGTGTGAGTGCGAATGCGCTTCTTGAAGAGCATCTGAAGTTTCTGGATAGCGCCCGGCGAGGCCTCTCTCTCTCTCTCTCTCTCTCTCTCTCTCTCTCTTTCTCTCTCTCTCTCTCTCTTCTCTCTCTCTCTCTCTCTCTATTTCTCTCTCTCTCTCTCTCTCTCTCTCTCTCTCTGTGTGTGTGTGTGTGTGTGTCACTTTCTAATTACCCATTCGTCTCTCTCTCTCTTTCTATCTGTCTTTCCATTTGTTTCACTCTCTATCTGTCTATCTATCCATTTTTTTCTCTCTATCTATCTATCTATCTGTCTTTCTTTCTCACGCTGTTTTAATCCCTTCACATCGCTTTTATAACATGTTATCCATTCATGATTATCTCAGCGACTGATACCAAAGAGTAAACCTTTATAATCTATTCTCTGATACAGTTTTAAATAAGAGAAGGTATGTGCAAAAGCATAATGTTCTCCTTGTTTGTGTTGTTTAGAGAGAATATTTCGTGATAAAAACTTTTTACATTTCCTTTCCACTATCATGCAAGGGGGTGGGACGGAGAGATTCATTGGGAGGTGTGGGGGGGGGGGGGTCGGTAGCAGGAAAAAATAAGTGCAAGGATGATTTTCATAGAATTATATCGTTTTGTAGTTCCGCAGTATTGGTTTTATTTTTTTTTACAGTTAATTAAATGCGAGTTTGTGTGTGTGTATGTGTGTGTGTGTATGTATTCATTTATACATATGTATATATGTGTATGTACGTATGTATATATGTATGTATGTGTATTTACGTTTGTATGTATGTAGGAATGTGTGTGTGTGTGTGTTTGTGTATGTGCGCGTGTGTATATGTGTATGTGTGTGCGTGTGTGCTTGTGTATGTGCGCGTGTGTATATGTGTATGTGTGTGTGTGTGTGTGTGTCTGTGTGTGGATGTGTGTTAAACATGAACATTACGTTACGTCCTGATGTTACAAAAGCATCATATTTTTTCCTTCAATCACTATATACATTATTGGAAAATCACTGTCATTTTTACTTAGTGCTTCCCCATACTCCAAGAAGCCCACGGTTCTTCGCTATGAATGGCCAAATAATGTATGACACTTTCCTGAAAAACCTGTCATTTAGATTGACAGCTGTTGTTAACGTTTTCAGAATATCCTTGACTACGGAAGCTTCTAGCGTGAATGGGGAAAAGGAAGCGTCAAAAATCTTTGGATGTTTACTGAGTTGCATATTGAAAGTTTAGTAATGGTGATGGCAGTGATGATAAGTCTAATGATAGTTATGATAATACTAATGCTATTGTTTCTATTAATGGTAATAATAGTGATCATTATAATCTCAATTATGATAACAGTAATATCAAAATAATAATGGAATGATAATAATAATGATGATAATAATGATAATAATAATAATAACAATGACAGTGATAATTATAATTATAATAATATCAGTGATAATTTTAATAATACAAGGATGATAACCATAATAGCAAATGTAATAACTGAAGAAAAAAACTTGTGCAGCTCCCCTTGAGAAAGGGAAATAGAATTGCATTTTCATTTTGATGCCAAACATTCATGTCGTAGCTTTTCATAAATGTCCCTTTCTATATCATATTTACTGTATTCAGTTATGCCACTGTCTCTTTGATGATGATTTCTCAGCCGTAGCGTTACCGCTTGTGTCAAAAAACAGCAATAATAATAACAATGATGATAATGATAATGGTGATAATGATAATAATAACAATAGTAATAATAATAATGGTGATGGTGATGATGTTATTGATAATAATGGTACTAGGAATAATGATAACAGTAATAAAAATAATATAATGATGATAATAATGATAATGATATTGATAATGCGAATGACTGCCCTAAGGCTTACTGGGAAGCCATTGCTCGATTTTGTTCTCAGAAACGACTAAGCAGTGTCCGAAGCACGGAAAATTTAACCGGCACAAGAGCAAGGGCATTTGGTATTACTGTACAAAAATACGAGACTCTCCTCCTACCCCCTGAAACGAACAAGGAACAATGATTAGTGAAAGTGGGATGTTAGGGAGCGGAGACAGTTAGTTTGAAGGTCGACAGAAACCTGGTAATAACGAAGAGAAAAGAAAAAAAACAAAAAACGTGAAATCACTTTGGACTCTGTGTCAATCGTTCTCGACAACAATCTCGCAAGAGCGTTTCCTTCAGTGGAATAGAGAGGATTTCCTTCAACTGTCTATTGTAGACTAAGACGATTATATGGCGCAAAGGTAAAGGTTTAGAGAGGGTGCTTGAAGCTCTAGAGGAAAATAACGACATTTTGAAAGAATTTGTGAAAGCAGCACAGCATAAAATCATCAAGAATGCAACAGAGAATACCAGTGAAGCATTTACCATTGCATTAATTGCAACACCTGTAGCATTAGTAAACAAGCGAAAAAAAACGGCAAACTACTTAACAATTGGTGACGTCAAATTCACATACTAACGCTAGTATGCTAAATCATACCCATAATTCATCTTGCATGTAACTGCATCCCTCGCGGGCAATCCAAAGTTCCCTACGCCCGTAGTGCAATATAACACAAGCAGCAGAGACATGTACGAATGAATAAATATAAACATCCATACACAGACGGGGAACGATTGGAGAGGCCTGAATATTTAACTTGCCTAAATATTTACGGGTGAACGATTGATGTTTGTGTTTATTGACAGTCACACCATTGCAGGCAAGTGTTGACAAAACGTTGAAAGAGGAGCAAGCACAGGCTGAAGCAGGAGATGGGTGCTGTTATGTACTGTAGATATATGTTCGCTCTTGCGTGTGTTTGTTGGCATTTTTTGTGTTTGTTCTTGCGTATGTATGTATCTGTGCTTGTGTGTGTGTGTGTATGTATGTTTGCGTATGTGTCTTGTTATATTCTTTTGTATAGGTGTGTGTGTGTGTGTGTGTGTGTGTGTGTGTGAGTGTGTGCTTTTATGTGTATGTAGATTTGCTTCTGTATGTTTGTATGTCTTTGTGGAGGAGAGGGGTTAAGAGTCTTTGCATGTAGCAGTGTCCCAG